GCTCATGCTCCTTCAAAAGCTGTCAACATGAAATCCGAGGTATTTCCTAAATTCTATTGGTTTATTAATAAAATATTACTGCATCAAAAACATAGGCTTCACGTGAAAGCAAGACAGAAAGAGTCATGTAGTACCACGCAGGTGAATTTTGCGATAGAGGTTGTTTCGCTAAAAGCGGTGTTCATCAGCTACGTGCTACTCCTTCAGTTTGAATTGCGAACTACCCTCCTATCTTTTGTCCCTTTGCTCCTACTGAAAGGCACAGTTCACGATAAATTTGGGTAATCCAGATTATGACGAAAAGTGAAAGATGAGATGGAAAATAGAACGATGAAGGCGAAAAAACTGCGTGGAGCGGTGTTTCCAAAGTGAAAAAAGGTTCAAAAAAGTCGTGAAAAGGGGGCGGCTGGACAAGAAGACCAGAAAAATGAAGAAGAATGGGGCGTCTGGACGCTATACAGTGTGTGTCAGTGCGTCAGTGTGGGACTGGTACGATTAGCTGATTACGGTAGGCAACAATTCATTCAATCATAAGCATAATTCATCAAGAAAAACCCTAGTGTAGCACAAGTAGCTGACCGTTTTTAGCCTCTTGTTGTAGAAAACTAAATAAGGGATCGCGGTAGCAAAAAGAATAACAGAGGAAAAGTGGGGGAAGAACATCGCCTCATTAATTGGCGGTTGTGTGCGGGTCCTGGCCCGAATACATGCAATCTGTATCGCCTCAATACTCGTCTGACGTGACATCGATCGAGGGGTGGGAAGTCCGCGTGGGCCAGTAACGGGGCTTTCACTGTGCCCCCGCCGTTGAGTTTTTGGGCGCGAGAGGGTCCCTCCTCTTACTTTGGGGGCCACTGGGTATTTCTAGGGAAAGGCCATTTTTATCGTGAACTGTGCCTTTAATTCACAAATTCACTGACGATTATGCACTCAAAGATCCTGTTTTACCCCTGACTCGAACCAGCTGTTGATTCTCTCTTTTTCACCCCCTCTCCACCACCCCGCCATCGCGAGCATTAGGCATCAGTGCGATCTCTGAGGTCAGTAGCTTCATTTGAGTGAAAGCTCCCTTGACTTCGTGGCACATTTCCATAGTGCACACCCAAAAACCGCAATGATGGCATATTCTATTCTATCCGTATTCANATCTCTGAGGTCAGTAGCTTCATTTGAGTGAAAGCTCCCTTGACTTCGTGGCACATTTCCATAGTGCACACCCAAAAACCGTAATGATGGCATACTCTATTCTATCCGTATTCAGTCACTCCCCTTTTTTGTACAATATTAATGAACGTTGAAGTTTTGGGAAACGGAACGTCGGCCGATGCTTTTGACGAACAGCAAACAACGTTGTGTTTTGTGGATGGCGAGTTATGGGCCAAAGTTCGGCCCTGGCTCGAACCGTACTTAAACTTTCTGGGCACCGCGCTCTTTTAATCCTTACATATAACATGTGAATGCTGATATGTTATGGCCAAAAATGATGACCATTTGTTCGCAACGTCGAGCATTTGAATCGATCTCACCTTAATAAATCAGTGCGACAGAGTACTACAGATAGTAGTACATATATTATGTGATATGCCCAGATTTGAAGACCGAAAGGAGTCCTGGTAAAGCAAAGGGAGATATGTGCTCTCCGACGGTTCGAGTCCATCCCCAGAAATGGAAAGGAGCTTTGCTCACATGTCATGATCCTTGCGAGGCTAATAGTAAACCTTTTTCAGAGCAATCTGCTCTTGGTTGCATTCATACAGTCCTTCAGCAAAGTATTTTAAAAGTGTAAATTCTTTGAAATTTATTGATCTTTGATATTTTCAGCTACCAATGCTCGCTGCTTACATCTCTTATCTCGTCCTGTTTTTCTACTTTCCACTGAAATTCCTCTTCGCCTGGGAACTCAACTGCGCCTGTTCATTCATTATCACATGCGAAACCGTGAGTCTCAATGTTTTCATCAACAACATTCCAAACTGGGCCTGCTATGTGCAGATGGGAATTCGGGTACTGTCTTCTAGCGTGCTGGGGAAATAGGCAAACAGATAATCGGACACCCGATGTGCTATTTTAAAACATTACCGTACCAAACACACATTCAAAAGCAACCACAGCTCTGATTGATTGGAGGCTGAGTCTGTCGTCCGTATAAAGGCAACTCGGCCTCATTGGGTGCCAGCCCATCCTCGCCATATTTCCCGGATTTGCGCTGTTCCAGAACGTAGTCCAAATTTTCGAATTGGACACGTCTATATAAATAATATCAAGAATTATCTACAAGCGATCTTCAAGCCCTTTTATGAAATAATGTGCGCTCATACTCACAATGTCTCGATCATTGCTGCCCCTCCCCGTTCAACTTTAATTAAAGTCCACTTTATGATACTCTTTCCATCACCTGCTAATGCTAAAATTGCTTACAATCAGATATTAAAGGCCAGTTAGAGGGTAAAGCCAGTAATAAAAGGAATAATAATAACGTAATAAAACTAGCGCCCCGTACGCATGTTTCGTTCAGCATCGTAGGCCGTTTGACTGTGTATGTGGCCTATGCAATGAATTGCGGTGGCAAGCCGATGCAAATTCAGTGTAGCCTTCCAGCCGAATTCGGTACGAAATAACTGTCCCCGAATAGAAGGCTTAGTTGGCCAAGGGGCTCTGAGATTCGACTCTCTGAGAGTTTGGTGATAGAGTGAACAACTGCTTCTGTCCCTGCCCAGTCAGTACCCTGCTTCTACCCTTACACAAGCACGCCAAATAAATCGGGAGAATAGGCAGACAAGCAAGCCAACCCACAAGAGCGAAATGAGAATAAGCGCACTGAACTTTGGCCTTATCCGTCCTTATTGTAAGGACTAGGATTTATTGTAAGAACTGCACTTAAAGGCACAGTTCACGATAATTTTGGGGTACCCTTTTCGTCAAAAAGCGGAAGTGAACGGTGAGAATAGTCTAATAGAAGCGAGAAATTCGCCGATTTCCAGAAAAATAAGGTTCCTTAAGAGTAGGGAAAATAAAGGTAGGACGAGATTACAATGACGGAAACAGCATATACGGGGTATTTAGACGGGATTTCAGTTGTTGCTATTGCGCAAAGAACTATATACGACAAGCCGCAACTGCACAGCACTGCCTTTCACTGTCGCTATGGGTCATGACAAGTTGTTTTATTTCCCTACATTGGCTTCCCTGCGGTTGGTGTAGCTTCTACAGTGTCGGTGAAACTCGTCCGCCGATACACACCGCGCAATCTTTCAGCCTCTATAGCGCCCTACTCCGGCCGCCTCCAAGTATGGCAGCGCCACTTACGCCCTACGGTAGCCTACAAAATCATTCTAGCGGGTCATCTCAAAAGTCGTTTCTATCTAGAACTGTGCCTTTGAGCACCTCCTTTGAAAATCGGCGAGAGTCTCAGGTTCTAAGTTGTAGAGGATGCAAGCACATAGAGTTCCAATTATGTGTATTCAGACCCGAATGGCTATGAAATTGCATTCATTTTTACGCGAGAATATGTCACGAGCCATTTCTAAGAAGACCAGCGGAGCGACTGTTCAGGTGAGTTCCCTCACCGAAGTAGGTGACATCTGCACCAGCTCACTGTTTTAGCAAACTCATTACCTGACTTTCGTTGACGTCGATGTCTAACTGCCTAACATTGAAGTACCAATAGTTCCAAACTTCCTTCGTCTTCAGAGCTTCACTTGCATGCAATGTTAGGTATTTTTTGAAAACAAGTATCGGCAACAAACTCTGAAGGCGAGTGCATCTTTAAAAACGAAGGCATTTCCCATTTCTGCTTTTTTTTGTGGGCATCATTTCTTTTCTCTGACCATTTATCTTATGCCCAAACTTATCTAAGTTTAGCCAGGCGCTACATCTGACTGGCCCACCGTTGAGCAATACGTCTACTTCATGTTCTGCCCATCGTTTATTTATAGAGACGAGTATCCAAGGTGAGCTATATTATTCTTTGCATCGTGCTTTTTAGCACCTGAACCCAGGCCGTGATAAACCATCAGTAATGTGCTATCCCCTCTCGATCGATGGGAATGTGAATTCATGTCTCGTATTAATCACGCCTGCTAGAATAAAGAATAAAAATAAAGCTTCTCGACGTCAACAGCTCCATTTTTGAGATGTGCCCCGCTTACCCGACTTCCGTTCACACTGTAGTGGCATTTTGAATGCGTACGTGACCTGTACAACTATTTGCAGCCTTTGTAAAAGTCACTGTTCTTATCCTTCAGACAACCTCAATACCAATAAACCGAACCCGGAATAATGGGAGGTTTGGTTGTTCTAAGTGAGACTCGATCATCGATCCATGCATGTTATAGCGCCACTTGCCGCTACACCACCTTCGCACAAAACATGGATCACATCGTTGGAGAGGCTGCCAGATGGGACACCTCTAAAACGGGTGGACCAGTAGTTCTCAAGTGCCAGCGTTGGGAGCATCCGAATCGGTACCAACTTTCCGATTCGGATGCTCCAATGCTGATACTTGAGTACTACTGGTCCATCCACTTCAAAGGTAATCCATCCGATAGTCGCAGGCGCAGGCGAAAAGCAAACAGGAATCCTATATCCGGAGACGTTTAGTGATCGGATGGTTCTGCACGGTAGGTTCTAAGAGGAACATTGGCAATATATTGTAATCGCGGGACCTGGCTGGAACTGGTGCGAATAGGGGTTCAAAGTTTGATAACTCGGTAGAGCATTTCGTTGGAAGGAGTATTAATTGGCCCAGAAGTGTGCCGTGGTGTTCGCAGAAAAGGCTGTATTATTAAAAAAAAATGATGTCATCTAAATGGTGATTAGACCTCAGTCCCATTTACTATCCTTTTCTTTCAACTCGCTTTTTCGGGAACCTGGTCTGGTAGATATGTAGTAAGGAATGGACTGGAGGGGATATAGGGGCGAAGGAGTGTTATACTCACTGGGCCATTCTCCGCAACGCCTTGCGTGTTCAATGGTACGACTACATCGTTGGTATTCCTTACTGGTTAGGCACGAAACTATNATATTATTTCTACATTTCTTCTTATCTATTCAATGAATACCTGTCACATATGAATACACTGGAATCATTTCAGAACAGATACAAGATGTGTGAGAAAGGCTGCCATACATTTTTTTCACTGCTTTATACTTATAGAATTCGTTAATTTGCAATTCACTCAGTATGTCTTCCCATGGATGGACTCGCAAGATGTAAGTTTCTGAGGATAGCTTGTGATCCTGGAAAAATAGCCTGTTCTTGCAGTATACCTCCTTATCAGTGCGCGACATCGTACTCTCGTTATTTGCTGGAATTCTACCTGGTATGATATGTCTTGTTTCGTTGTTTTATGGGCTGCTACACTCATGGCTGAATGGGTTCTCCGAGCTGATGCGTTTCGGTGATCGACAGTTCTATATGGTCTGTTCTTGAAAACCATAATTCGAGACGGTGCACAGATTAGAATGGTTTTTTCAAGCTGATAACATTCTCGAGAACAATCTCAGTTGGAGACAAAATATTTGATACCCTTAAGGAACTTCCTTAGTGTTGTCTGTAAAAAGTCTGCTAACAGACTCCTGACCCCATAGCTCTGTTTTCATTTTCTGTTTCATAGTTTAGAGAACTTATGGAACTTGAACAGCTGTATGAGTTGTACTCTTCATGGGAAACTTCATTGTGAACTGACTCGTAACGAAGCCGAAAAAGGCCGGTTTGCATTTCCGCGCGAATTCAGGATCTCCTTCGATGGCTATCACAGCTAGGAGGAGTTAGAAAAGCAAAAGGGAATGAGATAATAAAGAAGTCTGTAAGTAAGGTGTGGCGGAACCTGCTTCAGTTCCTGCACTTGTAGGTTGCTGTGATGTACTCTTACTCGGCGTGCACACGATCAGATATTCTTTTCAAGTGCAATCTTCCAAACTGATATCCCCTATTATCCATTCATTGAGCCTAAAAAAAGTTTTTCAGCATTGGAAAAAAACGCTTACGAACACATGGAAAAATGCTTTCGGTTCTGCGCCCACGCGATATGCTAAAATCTGTTGAACTAGTGTGAAACTGAGTCATTATCTGTTTTAGAATTGGTGGCACGCCGACAACATGGCCGAGTACTACCGCAACTGGAATCTGGTCGTACACGATTGGCTATATGCTTATGTATATAGGGATGTATCAAAGGTCTGATCTTCTAATTTCATCTCAAGCACCCATTTCACACATATGTAACTCAGTACTGAGAATGGAGATATCAAGGTCGAACAATGATCTTTGGAAGTAGCGAACCCATTCAGCTTATACTTGAATTAATAGAACCATCCAAGTACGTAAATGGTCTAGACGAGAAAAAGACTTCGTTCCGTTCGGCTTCTATGCGACAAACTGCACCGCGACTTGGACGATTGTAGAGCTTTCCCAAAATTATGAGCGGCACTTCATTGCAATGTACACTGTGTTTAATGTTTGATGATGATACAGCCACCTACGAATTTCACCAACGCTCACGTTCAGAGCACATTCAAAAGGGTCTCGCTATGGAAAATGATCCCTATTCGAACCATAACTTGTAGTCCAACAACGAGTTCCATCTCAAAAATATCTACAATTGCCCCCTTCATTTTTATAGAGAAGGTCACTTTGCTTATGTTTCAAAATGATACAGCCACTAGAAAATCAGTTTATTTAGCGGATAAATAATAATTAAGAGAAAAGGCCGGGTGATTAATAATTAAATGGGCTCCCATTCCTTCGGAGTACCTCAAGAATACAATTGTCTGAGCTAAACTGAAGGCTATCAATCTAGTTCCTGATCAACGTGGTGCCGGCAATGACGGTTGCTTTCTTCAGCTCGCTGGTGCCTACGAATCATAAATCTTTCTTACCATGAATCCCAATATGTTTTCCATTGAATTCAATTCAGGGTTGTTAGCCGGTCAGAGCAAAAGGTCGATTTAGTGCCGACTAAACCAGACATAGTCTCTCCGGCTGGATCGGAGCATTATCCTGCATGAATTCGAAATTCTGCTGCCGATTCTGACACCAGAAGGGAAGAAGAGCATGGTGCATTACGACCCGATAACAACGATAGTTGAGCTACTCGGAACGAAAATGAATGAAGGCGTTCACGAAAAGGAATTATGCCGCGACGGGGGCGTGCAGATATGAGTTAGCGCTGTTGATCTTCACTCTGCCAGCTGTGGTCCTTCTAGTTGGTGTACTCGTAAACATTCTGGTGGTAAAAGTGTTTATTATACTCGAAGTTGCCCCTTATATACCGTCCTTGTTTACTTCACTCCTTCTAGTGATCTCCCATCATCGTCTTCCCACACTTCTCTCCCGGCCTGCATCCAACTGCCTGAAATATCCCTATCCCCCACATCTCTCCCCAGGTGACCTTCAGTCACTCGCATAACCAAGTACTCTCCCAGCGACCAGAGAAGGTTATTCGCTTGTCCCACATTGTAAATACTATACTACTTGATTTGTACACCATCAAACACATCTTTATTATTCTACGCGGAAAGAAAAACAATTATCATGACGATCACCCTCATCCTATTTCCTCCCCTGCTCTGGGAAGCCGGTTCTAGTGTTTGTCAGTTCTTGCATCTGCACCGCCAGTTGCGCACAGAATTCTCATTTGATCGAGTTCCTGACGAAATGTGGACGACGTGGGTGTCGGCTCTTGGTATGCTTCTCGGCCCTACCACGCTGATGGGCGTCCACGTGCCGACGCCACATAAGAAGGTCGCTGGTTCGATTCCAGGTGAGTCCTGCTTTACCGCTGGAAACTTCCTTTTGTTCGCCTGGATAATCGAGATGCCCACTTCTTGCAGTCCCTCCTTTAGATGAGGCGCATTTCACACACTCTTCCAAATGCCTCTGCCGCCTTCCCTCCAAAGCTTCTTTTGACGTAAGGCTCTCCCTTTCTAAGGGCCCCTTTTAGTCTCTATGGGGGCTAGTCCTCCTAAAAACACCATAGAGACCATCGCGTCCCGATTATCTTTTATCTTTTCGAACTCACACAACGCTGCCGTTTTCTGCAGCTCCGCATACTAGTAGTCCTGTAGAGTTTGTCCTGAGTGTTGAGTTTGGGACATCAGTCCATATCGCTCCGCCAGGACCGATTTCTCGCTGGAAGTGACTTGCCATCGTTTCGCTCAACTCCTCCGATGGCACTTCCTTCGGTTCTCTTCCTTACAGTAGTGACTCGAGCTGTTCGTAGTTGCTTCGTCCGATCTTCTGCAAAAAGATCAGTCTCTTCTCAAACTCATCACTAACCTTCCTGCGAGGAAGTTATTGAATAAACCCCACCAAGTGCGCCACGGTGTACCTGGCACATATACCTCCACTGAGGTCCCCTGTTCCGCCACCGCCACCGCTGACGCGTTGTTGCACACATTACCGTCCCTGAGCTGTTGCCATCTTCTCTTCTCTTGAATGTTGGACGGTGTACAAACTGCGATTTCTTCAGTATTGAAGGCGACCTCCTTGCTTGATTGCTGCCGCCTTTTCTCCTGTCTTTCTCCAGTGCGTGATTTACTGGCCTGATCGCCAGTTGGTGTACTGGTAGGAAAAATGTTTGTTGTACTCATGTCTTGTTTTCCTCACTTCTTCTAGTGATCTTCTTCCATTATCTTCTCCGAACTCTTCTCTCCTGGCTTGTATCCAACTACCTGGAATGTCAATATTCCTCTACACTTCTGGAGCACCCCCGGTGTATGCAGGAGCCCTAGGTATATGCAGTCCTCCCTCCGGCCCGCGGACATGTGTCACGCATGGACCGTGCGCCTCTGTGAACCCCAGTTCCCTGTTCCTTGTTTTTTGTATTTTTCTTGTGTTAGTGGATTTCTCTGATGTTCTGGAGTACTTTCTACTTCTCCTGACTCTGCCGGCAGTCTTTTTATTCTGGGTGCTTGATTTTTTCCTTGATTTTTTTGTGTCTTCTCCTTTGATCGAGTTTAAGGGCTTCTAGCTAAATTTCCATGGTTGTGCTAGTTGTGCCTAAACTCGAGCATCTTTACGTTTTCGCAATAATCTAAAACTCAGGTAATCAACCCAACATTTATGAAACATGCATAAGAAACTTCAATGAATGAGAAGGGCTAGAGAAAAGGAGAACAATAGAAAATTATGAAACAACAATCAATGAGAAAAAACTTTGATCACTAATTGAGAAGGATTATAAGAATGGAGAGCAATAAAGAATCGTGAGACAACAATCAATGATACACTGCACCTCGTGCGCTCTTCCTCCGTCCTTCCTCGGCAGAGCGGTGCGATTGGTGCCGGTATGCTGCTGTCCTTGCCGACGAAGTTGGATGACGACTACGGAAGTGACGATGCGCTAGAAGATATGCCGGCCGAGCGATTTGACTGACATGGAGAAAATGGCACAGGTGCTGTGTGCACACTCCAGGCCACGGCGCCCATTGCCACGTGGCAATCTATGCGAGCGGGGCGCACCTTCACTGGTAGAAGCGTGTGTTGTGGCGACAGCTCTTGCGTGGAAGAAGTCGAGGGGGTCACGACAATTTGCTGCCCATACCGTGACTCCTCCTTACTTGAAGTTTCGACTGGAAAACTGAAGCCATTCTTCCTGAGACCGTGCCATTAGAAACAGCTGCTATCTGGGCCATCGCATTCACACTTTTTTTCATTGGAAAAACAATCTGGGGGACTGAATAGAAGAAGAATGAACAGCAAACGACAAGACGTGGAAAGCACCTTACTTCAATCGGTTTGGACGCAACCCCAAGCAAAAGCGACCCGATTCGATGCTTTTCGGTCGCAGAGGGTACCTCTTCATTCCCGCCGAACGACAAGCTCAAGCTTATTTATCACTTTCCAAACAGTAGCACTCGAGACATTGAGCTTCGAGTGGACTTGATTTCAGTACATGGTATAGTCGTATTGAACACCTCTCGAAATCTGCCACTTGTCTCTTTCCGATATAACGACGACGTCCCGTACTTCTTTTGGTCACTCCCGTACTTCTTTAGGTCACGTACTCTGCAGGATTTCTGACGAAATCATCGACAATGCGTGGCATTGGCGTGAATCTCAAGCGATTCTACTTTAGCGATTAACAGTTGCTGTTCTTTCTTGGGGGAACTCGACCTTTCTCGAAATCAGATAGCAACTTTTTTCGCTCATCACCTGAAATTGGAAAACATTACACAAATGGGGCAGTTGTGTAAGATGTAAATGAAATAAGTCGGGAAAATATAGGTGGCTGTACCATTTTAGAACATAGGCAAAGTGACCTTTTCCGAAAAAACGAAGGGAAAAATTGTATATGTTCTCGAGATGAGACTTGCTGATGGTCTACAAATTACGGTCCGATTAAGATACATTTTCCACATTGAGCTTTTTTCTGAAGTGCTCTGAAATTGAAAATTGAATTTGGTGGAGTTCATAGGTGGCTGTATCACTGTGTATTTGAAGCTCCTTAGCTATGAGTGACAACAGAATGAACAGAACACGTTTGCTTAGATTATGCACAACAACTGCTGCAACCACATTTCGAAGTGTTCCCAACTCGGATCGATGTCCGTCCACCGCTTCCAGCCAATCACGTTATCCATCCGTTCAGGGTTCCAGGGTAGAATGATGAGTATCAGACCTATAGCAGTCAGATATAGTCATGCTGGTTGTCTGGGAGGATAAAAGCGCTGATTTGAACATCATTCATCTGCGTTCCATACTCCATTACGATTTTGAATGAAAGTCGAATGCGAGGGTGCATCCTCCAGACGGATTGATCAACACTCAGACCTTATTCCTTTACCCTTTCCAACAACGAAATCCACGAAGTCTTTTCCCGCTACTCCCTCAATGGAAATCCATTGCTGTTCTTATAACAACTTCCTCGTAAGATATTGCACTTCCTGTGTTTCTCTCCAGAGCGCGATTGCTTTATTTGTTGACTATAGGCTTTGTCGTGAAAATCCTCTCGCCAGTGAAAGTGATGAAAACGCGTGTTTCCACTCCAATGAGTTAGCAGCCTTCTGTATTTTGTGACCCTGCACTGTCTGTTGAAATCGAATAAATTTGGCATTCCTGCATACACCAGGAATGGCACTGAGACTTGTGTTGACAATTCGCCCATCAACAAGTTCGTAGGCCCTGCTCCGTTATTGTCGTAAGTAATGATGACGGTTCCATAAATAGAGGGATTCTGGATTTTATGAACGTTTTTGTAGAAAGAGTTGTGTTTTTGTGATCTTAGTCTTGCACACCTTGTTAGTTTAAGCACCCTTTACTTACTTGCTCGAAACCATTTTCTCCCAATTCGTGAACGTTCTTGATCATAGGCAAGGAATTTTGGTTTAGGCCTCTCCCACATCGGGGATTTGACCACATTTGTTCTATAGCCTCTTACTACCTTTTCACGCTTTTTAGAAAGTTTTCGTCATGAGATTCTAGATTAGCTCCGTCCTGCCCATTCCGGCGATTCCTTCACATTACTTCATCGTTTCTTACCTCCTACTAATTTTTTCCAGCTTTCTAGAACCTTTTTGAACAAAGTTATGTACACTTCTAAGAGTAATCCTTCAGTCAAATGCCCACCCCACCCATTGTGGACGGTGCTTCGCTAGCGGCCTGGCATGTATTTGGCCTTGATCACTCCCATTTGTTGCGCCTCCACGCCTTCGTTGAATCGAATTATGACTTATGTGGGAGGTACCGCCGACTTTGAAAACGCTCCTCCATAGCATGCGGATTCCCTTCATCTGATTTGTTATCTCAAGACCGAATTAGGGATGCGGGTTGAGCTCGCTAAGCTCATATAAGCTCTGGTTTTCTCATTCTTCTTCCCAACCCATTTCAAGTTTGGTCCGATCTCTCAAGGTGTTTCTTTGGGTAATATCGTATTTCGTGACAGATAGAGGCGTGAGCTCGTTATACAGGGTGTCCAAAAGTTAGAGTCGCCAATTCATAGCAACGTATTTTAAACTTCTCAGCTGGATGGCAATGGAATCTATATGCTTGTTTGCTAACACTATGCGCTACAAAATGCTACATCCACACTTCAAAAGGTCCTCATGAGCGCGAATGGAGTCCCGAAGTTAGGTCTCAAACTTTTCGTGTAGTACACACAGGTATCCTCTGCCATTAATCCCAGCCGTTCTTGAGTCTTGCTTTCTAGGGCTCCGAACTGAGTGTGCGGACCGGACAGGTCCCCCCTAAACACTGATGGAGTCGGGCAGCTAGGCACCACACCCGGGCGAGCTTATATCTGTGGGCTGGAGTACCGTCCTGCCAGAAGGATTACGTGCTGTTTCAGGACGCGAATCCCGTTCAGTGCATCATTGTGTCCATCAGTGCGCTCTTTGAGCATACGTCTTGGTCAATTTTCACGCCGGCACCGACGAAACCACGAGCGTCTTACAGTTGCCAGTGACGTCCTCGAAAAACATCTTTTTGTTGTTCATATAGCAACTTTTGGTACCATTCTACTATTACACCCCCAAAAACTCAAAATTTTAATTTTCGATGAAACTTCGCCTATAGGGGTAATCCGATGCCCTGATAACGAATATGACCTTTACTTTTGACGCTGGCGCCATTTGGCGCCAATTGGCGCAATTTTGCGCCAAGGGTGTCCTCGCCAAATTTGCTGAAAACTTGCGTTGGGGGATTATTTGAGGTCCTGATAACGAATATAACATCCATTTTTGGCGCTGGCGCCATTTGGCTCCAATTGGCACCAATTTGGCGCCAAATTGGCGCCAATTGGAGCCAAATGGCGCCAACGCCAAAAATGAAGGTCATATTCGTTATCAGGGCATCGGATTACCCCTATAGGTGAAGTTTCATCGAAAATTAAAATTTTGAGTTTTTGGGTGTGTAACAGTAGAATAGTTCTGGAGGTGTAATAGTAGAATAGTACCCAACTTTTTTGTAAGAGATTGCACGTTAGGTGTTTATAGCCATAAGGTGGTGTTTTATTTGTTGAGGAATAGTTTTTCCACTCGAGTGAGCTAGCAACATTCTGCATTTTTGCCCCTACACTACTTACCAGGAACACACCGCCACACCATCACATCATCACATCAGCTTACACCTAATACACTTTCAACGAATAATATAGAGTTAGGAGATTTTCGTAATTGTTAGTCATAAAAAGTCGATTAGCTCTAAGATATTAACACGAAAATCGCAAATGTAACTCCGCAAATACTGATTTCTGAAAAAGAAACTGACCAGAACGTTAATCATTTTCACTCGAACAGTATACTGGTCATCACTGGACTTTCCTTATAATTCATTTTCAGCTTATTGGCGGACGTCGTGGCCTCCAAATAGCCCAGCTAGGCGTCTTCTTCCTTTCGGCGCTGTTCCATGAGTACTGGTTCGGTGTCGCATTCCGAGTATTCTACCCAGTCATGTTCATGCTTTATTTTGTATTCGGAGGTATGTTTTTCGAGGTTTTCTTCGCTCTTGTTGGAGGAGCACCTCTCGTAAGCTCGCCCCAATAAATGGCAGCTTTTAGGAATTTTCTTTTCGGTCTCGAAGCTCATCAAGAACAAATCCATTTGGAATACAGCTTTATGGTTCAATTTGTTAATAGGTGAGTATTGTTTCAGTTTCACTTTGGTACCAGGGTTCTAAAGAAGCGGATATTTGCTGTCATACACGGCCTGATGGATCAGGGACAATCAGAGGTCAAACATGCGATTCTAGACAGCACTAGGTGCGCCATTTCACAACTATAAGTTTGACAGCATTCGGTGATCGATTACCGAACCATTGCTTTATTTCCAATTTGGCTTGTTAGGAGCTCGATGACTGGAAAGGATCGAGTAACCAAAACGAGCAGACAGAAGACAAATTGTATCCTTCTAGCCTCCAAACCCCTCCAAATCTTTCAAAAAAAAAGATTCATAAGATTGTTTGCTATCAAGTGAAGCCGTTTCAGAAGTTTCTGGAATATCGAGCTGGGCTTCTACTTTCTGTAACATTTTATCGAGTAGGGTCGAAAAGTCAGTGGGGCTCGCTTCACTCTGACGAACTCAAATGGTCCCAACGCAGTTAAACTTCAAGGCTCTGAACTTCGCTGATCTTCAACGAAATCTTTATTTTCAATTTCCCTTTCGAATATCCTCTTAACAAGTTTGTAATTATAAGGGAAGAGTGAAGATCAGAGAATTAGTATTTCCCTATTGGTGACTAGCAAAATGCCGCGGTTTTGAAAAATAGTCTTAAACTGTTTTTCAAGGTTCCAAATAGGCGCTCGCGAAGGTGTTCCCCTCGCAATCAGGGATAAATGAAGAGTAGCGCGTGCTCTTATGGAGCACTCAAACAGTGTGGGCTTTCATTTTGGATTCTTTTAACAGTAATCAGTTGATGCGGAGACATTCTGGAGATTTCTCATCCAGGAACTGCTATGCTCGAAAAGGTCAACAAAAAATGAAATCCCCTGGCGTTTTCGGAAGCATCCTGCATTTGAGGTCCAATTGAAATCGCGAAGGTGTCACTATGCGTACGTACGTGTCTGTACAATGTCTTGCGCTGGCCAAATTGAATTCAGGTCCCATTTATCCTGCCAGACGAGTTGGACACTAACTAGCCGATCTTTGAGGACGAAAGATTTGGTTGGGCTGTACGTGTCTCGATTCGGGATTCAATAATCGGAAAATGAATGCCACCTGCTACTGAAACTCCCTCCCCTGCCCACCAGCAGTTACCTAATCCTTACCCTCGAGCAACTAACTGGAATGACCAAAATGTCAATCACACAAAAGGGACTTCTTTTGTCAAAAGAAATCCATACAGCTGCTCTCTTACTAATAGCAACTTACGCTAATCACTCCCGTATTTTTAACCAAGGAAACTTGTTCTGGCGAGATTGAAACAACAACGGCCCGTACCCAATCAGAGAGATTCCTGAAAGCATTGCAGAGAGATCGTTACCCTTCAAGTTAGGCATGCAGTTAGTGAAATTTGTGTGCGAATGTTTTGCCTGATAATATTGTCATCAAAGAAATCTTCGACATACTAGACAACGTGTTGGTTTTTCTATGGTGTTTTTTCTTTGATCCTTTTCTCATCATCCACTTTCCAGATTCGTATTAGGTCCCGTTAGCTGTCCTGGTCTCTAGGAAAATAGGATATTTCGTAGAACTTATAATCAAGAACAGTCCTATTTTCAGGAACTGGCATGTTTATAGCATTTTATGGTCAAGAATGGTACGCACGTCAGCGATGCGCTCCCTACAGTAATCCGGTTGCGGATTTCTTGTTGCCAAGACACTGGGCATGCCACCGGATAAAGTGATTTAACGTCAGTTGTAGAAGAGACTTATATTGCGTATCAATGATATAAACTGTCTTTCTAATGACTAGATGTCGTGTATTAGCTATATTTGTTATACATAAACGAGATGAAGGGAACAACGGATGAATACAGAAAAGCCAACTCCGGTTCGTTTCTTCTGAACACATCAAATTACATGTAACCCTTTTTACGGGTGACGGCTCTTCTCCCCGATTCCCCATGTTCGCTTTGCAGCATGCGGCAAATAGTTTTCAGTTGTCTCGCGACTTCAAACTGCAATTACCGTACCCAGCTCGCCTCCTGGCCAATCGATAGGGCACCATCTTTTCGTTGACTGCCTTTCTTTTTTGATGAGTTTTGATTGCTTTATCTTTTTCGTTTTTATGTTTATTAGACTTGATTGTATGGCATGTGTCCTCTTCCTCTGTTATCGACTATCAAGAACTCAGTGCGATTAAAGAAAGTGGTCAGCAAATGTATTTAAAGGACTCCCTAGCCCACGGATTGCGCGCTCCTAACTCCCCGCTCCATTTCTGCTATGCGCGGCGGGTGCGGCAAGCGCGACGCATTGTTCGGGGAGAGGATACCGGCCCCCTTTTTTCATGGTGAAGAACAAATGAAAAAGAGGGCCAATATCCTCTCCCCGAAAAATGCGTCGCGCTGAATTAATCAATTTATCAGTGTGTTAACTCCACTGAAAGAATGTAGGATTGAAATGATTCTACCGGAAAACAAAACTGAGCAACTGGAGAGAATAACCGTCAGTTGTCAAACGTAAAAACAATAGATTTATTCTAACTAGATTAATCAAACATTGAAGCCACTGCTTCATATTCACAGGATAGATTGCAGGAAAACTAAATGCACAGAAACGAGCTAGTTTGATTTATAAAACGTATTTAATTAATGCCTCAATGCAACATGCTTCTACATCTCTCATTTGCGCTACGACAAGAAAGAAACATGGTGGGTGAAAAAAAAATTCAATTACCTGGAAGGCCATTCTATAGAAAGACTCACGCCATCAGTTATAGCTATGAGATCTCTTCGTAAAAGGTCCAGACAACTCATCGAATTCGAACGCGTTAGTTTAATATTCTAGTAAGGATTATGGCTACGATTGACATTTGAGGAACTGAGATCTCACTATACACAACAATTTCGTGAACTTTTTAGGAACATGGTAGCTCAGGGGGAAATGTCACAACTTCTCGTATCTCAGCACGTAGTCACACTGTGTGCACTGCTTGGAGTACTCGTCTTTGCTTTCGTCATATTCTTCCTCACCGTAAGTATGCTCATGCACAGCACTCTCTTCAATCTTCACGCCGGAAAGACCGCGAATCTGAATAATTCACAACTAATGCACATATCGGAACGGCAAAGATGACAAAAAAGCTAATTTTTTCCTGTAAAAAAGGCTTAGGCATAAAAGCAAACAAAGTTGTTTAGATACAGAAAATCATTTCTAGAACTCAAAACTGATTTCGTAGTTTTGGAAGCAACAACAACTCCTCAACTTACATGTTGTCTCATCTCCTTGACCTTTTTCTCGAAGTTCTTCTCAGCTCTGACTTCTTTTTGCGAGGCGCGCAATTTCTTTTCAGCTTCGAATTCACTCCAGCTACCGTAGATTTCAAGCATCCGCTCAACTACCTGACCAAACAGTAAAGATGTAGAAACTCTGGTGTAGAATACAATTCAAAAACAAGCATTACAACTAAAACCATATAACAAAAACCAAATACAGAAGAAAAAAGGATGAGCGGTTTTTTGAAATAAAAAGATTCACTTATAGTACGAATGTATTACCTGACATTTCAGATAAAGTTTCATATCACCATAACGTGGATTGTGAGGATTCTTTTTTGACCAATAGCGCAACACCGGTTTCCGCAAATCCAAATCACAGTCTTTTAATAAATAAAAAGACTTTGCCTCCGTCCGAGGGATCAGTTTATGCTCACCCAAATCGTCTCTAAATCACGAGAAATCAAGAAAAAGTCAGCAAACTAAAACTGGATAATCAAATACAACTATAATGATTAGAAGAAAAGGGGTATTCAGAAAAGTTCTCCAAATACTCTAGCAAATCGGCATGGGGGTAGAAAGGGGGGGAAAGGGCGATAGATTGAAAAGTTGCTTTTTCTAAGAGCCGCTGTGGGAGATGATTATGTGCAAGGGTGAGAAGGTGGTATAAAAAACAATGAGATAGATGGAAAGTTTTCTATGGACACACTTCTTCAGAAACTTAAATCACATTTTACAAAAAATTCTATCCACCTACCTGCAACCATCACACACGGGATGACTGTATCGTTCCCACAACCATGAATCGAACATTGGCTTTTTGCACTTAATGCAGTTATCAGGACATTCTTGATCAGCGAATTTCGCATCCACTCCTATTAAAAAATAATCAGTTTTCATCCTACAAATACTGCAGAAAAGTGGAAACAAGCAGAAATTTTGCGCAATCTGAAGACATGCTTCGCAATGGCAAAAAGAAATCTACTCATGTACAAACTTTGCTGTCTCGACTTGCTTATTTCCTCTCTTCGCTCTTGGTATTCATCATCATCGTCCATAAAGCCACCGGCTGCATTGAAGGAAGGCTGGTTTTGCCTGAATTCAGAAAATATGTATGAAACGTGTCGAAAACATAGTACACCAAAAAAGTGTTTGGCAAACCAAAGAGCTACAGCCGCTTAACGCATTTACTATCTCATGCCATTGCACTTATAACATGCACTTGCCATTACACTTTTCACCACAGCTTGAAAAGTTCTGTCAATTTTTTATGAAGTAACTAACCTCTGACGGATGAAGCACGGAGAAGAGAACCTTTTTATACTCCAAAAAGACTACCACATAACGGATGGGAATGCTCTCTAAGGTATCATAGCAGCTAGCATTAATCCACAAGTCATTCCTATTCCTAACCATACGTAAAGCACTCAAGTCTGCCGATTTGAATACCTACTGCATGAAATACTAAGCCAGCCGCTTAGTTCTACAAGTCCAATCACATTTCAGTACCTTTTGAGAACTCTAGGCGATAGACCGTATGCTGGACGCTCAGAGCAGTGAAAAGGGGGAGGAGAGGGGAAGGGTACACTTCGATCCTATCGTCATATAATGAGGTAACTTCGAGTACTATGCGTACATGTTGATGAATTGCCTCAACTAATTAGTATTATACCATTTGAAAGTAAAAAGGCTTGTAACATGCTTCCGTATATTTTGGCCTCTGCAGCTCAACCACATCAACAACATACAAAAGAGCAACTCTATGGGAAGGATATGTAACAAGAAGTACGCACCGCGCCTACAATGATATTGTATCATCGTTCCTCTATTACAGCCATCCCCTCCCTTTACCCTTGCCTTTTTTTCTAGGTGTCGTATATATGGGGGATTGCGATTCGTACTCAAATATATCATAGAGTGTAATAATTTGCTCCAGAAGATCTGCTTCTATTGTACCCACGGGTTCAGGATATACTTCCGATCATTCGCTCAACCGTGACCGGGGTCGCTACAACAGGAACCGCGTTTCTCTGGACTTCCAACGAAGCGTAGCCCAAAGTGTTCAGGTAAGTACTTCTCGCTGAGCAAGACAAAAATAGAAAAAACGCATCAGCGAAACCTTTAATACATCCCACTAAATAAGAAAAAGCTGTTGAATCCGCATAACGAAGATGAATATAAAAACCAAAAGAAAATGACATAGGATACCAATACAACAAAGAAAAATTGGCTCACTTATACAATTTCTCCACTGTTGGAATTTTTTCCTCTTCCGGAGGATTGAAACGTCGCTTGGGCATGATTTCGCTCACGAAAATTCAGTTACACAAACACGAGATGAACGCTGAAATTTTGTTAACTTAAAAGTTACAGCAGAACAGCACGATACTTTCAATCGGAAAGAAAGCACTAGTGCATTATTTCGCTTTTGATATTAACTTTCATTTTTGTGATGTGCTTTCAAAGCTGTCAGTCAAGAGCTTTCCAAATTCTGAAGGAATTTGTCATTATAAAAATGATGGGGTGTGGGGATGCACTGAGTAGTATGCGTAAGGTCCGAATGTCAAATACACCAAGGGTAACTAAATCTCATCGACTACACTCAATCACGATGCTGAAAGCACTGATTTGTACATTGACTGGACCCCACAAGTTATTGTTTACGCCGAAATATATTCAAATGCCACTGCAGTCCTCAATGGAAGAAGAAGGTGAAAGGACATCCCGAAGCAAGACTGATCGACACCGAGATTACGCTCTTTTTGATAAATTGTAGCGGGTTTGATGTCATCTTGATGAACAACGATGAGATGTTTGTCATGAATAGGATATTGAGAAAGTCCCGTGAATATGTTGCAAAGTAACCCGAACACACACTCAAGCGCCTCCAAACACCCGCCACACGACGCAGCGAAAAGGTTCCTGGGTGAGGTCCACGAGGTGGGCGGCGGGGCACTGGGAACGTTACTGTATCACTTCTGGAAATTGCACTCACTTCGATACTCAACCAATTTATTAGAAGGCGAGAGGATGGCGAGAAAAACTAAATAATGAGCATAGCATTTGTGATTCCGCTGTGCCACAGAACATAGGTGTGGGTAAACTGGAAACTCAACAGACGAGACAAAAAAAAATGAATGGAAACGCGTCATTTGCTTCACAAACTACCCAGGACGGGTATGATGCATGCGACTAAAATGTGATGCCCGCCCTGAAGGAGGCTTGGACCGACTATTATTAACTCAGGATCATTTTAATGTTAAGAGTTTTACAAATGCTTCTGAATCCTATGTGCTCTCACCACTACAGTCGAAGACAAGTTTGGAGGAAATGAATTCAACGAAAATTGAGTAATATTCGTCACTGTTTAGGAGAGTATCTTTCAGACGAAGTTAAAAGAGTAATACAAGTTCAAAGCACGATTAGCTGGCGACTAACCTGACAGAGCCCGGAATCAAAGAGTCTTTGAACCAGATATTTCGGCAGAGGCAGAATGCAGCCAAAGTTCGTCCGTGATATTGCGTGTGATGTACTTATGCGCGATATCTCAGACTTTATCTGAATCCTCTCTTTCATCTCAATTTTGAAGGTTAATGCTCTGAAGTTGCTCGCTTACGATGATACTACTTTTGTATTGATTCTAGAATTGATCTTCTGAGTTCGCATGCGAGATTCTTTCTTCATTGCGGCTAGTTTTCAATGTTTTCACCTATTTCTCATGCAAGACGCGATTTTACAGACGCTTTTTGAAAGTTATTTTCAGTCTTTCTTAGACGATTTCCCTTAGCAGTATGTAAGAGTGATTGGAATTCTATCGTAGAATTCCGCTTAGTATGGGGGAAAGTGGTACTTCTTTGTGTCTCAACAAATGCGTTACACTAAACTGCAGTTACCATCAAATTATTCCTATTTTAAAAAAATCCTGAACGTCCCGAGAAAATCCTCGAGGTATTCTACCCAAATGAGAGCAGTGATCATTTTTCTACATGATACCACATCAAAGTCAGTATTATTTTCAAAAGTTGATAGATTAATCGTTGATTAGCATTGTCGATGGGGTCGGGTTTGATATCCTTAATTTTACTTGCTCTCCTACAACAAATCATGATGGCGCTACACAGAACCAGGCGGAGTGGGTCTATTGCGGCTTATGAGAGAGTGGCGAGTAGGCCACAGATGGCGAATAAGTTTACACAATGATTATTATACTTGCATTCTTCTGGTCTAGGAGCCCCAACTTTTCCGGGAAGAAGTTTTTCGCAATTTTCAACTAAAATTTGCATAGCTCATTAACTTGAGCTTCCGTGATGTTCGTTCAGATGAAGATCGGCAGAGAAAAATTCGTTCCTCTCAAACAATATCTTGCTAAAGCGGAAATAATGCCATTTAATGGTCCTTACCTCCATTCCTTCTCACTTTCAATGTTGCATGGTGTTTTCGTGAGCAGTTCTGAGAAGTTTGAGTCGGAATGGCTCGCTTTTCGTCTTCTTCACGTTGGCGATGACTTCCTTGTTGGATTGTTGGATTCTGATGATGATGTTTTCGTAGAGCTCACAAGTATCCTTTCATATAAGAGAGGGTTACCCTAGCCTCAAACCTTGAATAACCGCCTTTCTTTCAATATTGTCAAAGACCTTCTTCAACATGACTGACGGTTCAGAGCTGAAGGCGTCTAAGGGTGTCCTCCCAAATCGGAGAAATTTCTGTGAAAATATTTTTTTAACAACATAACCTGATTTGAATGCACAATTTTTTACCCGTCATTTACACGACACATGGAAAAGGGCCTTGGGCAAGAACACGAGGTGGGTGGTGGGATAGCTAGAGGGTGCCGGGCCGCACGCAAACAGCGTAAGAGACTCCTTAACGTCTTCCACTCTGTAGCACTCGTCCCCCAAACTGATGAATGTGAGGCATAATGACGTTTCGCTCATTTGTGCTGCACTTCAATAAGTTTCTAACTGTGTGAGCATGATCGATCGTATTGAACCCTCTCCGGTACCGTGCTTGCTTGCGTATCTGTCTTTCATCCAGCGTTCTATTGATTGTGTTGATTTTAACTCGTGTATAGAGTTTATAAAATAGGGCAGTAGGCAGATTGGGCTTAATTTATCACTATTGTCTTTGTCCTTCTACTTACACCGCATTTCGACAGATCCGTAAAGAACCGGGCCAGGATTATGACAACCGGATGTTGTGGTTCAGCCCTGGATATCAGGTGCTGTAGAGATCTTGACTGGATAATGGCATGCCCGAATTGAAAGGGAGAACTGAAGAAAGGCCATACCCATCTTGCTTTATATCATCCATCTGGAAGTCGAAGACAAGTCATCGTGGCCTAGTAACTGGCGAAACGTATTTGAAGACGCTTCCGAGCCATGACGGCTCCAGTTATACCTGCTGCTCTACTTTACTTCAGATCTTTATCGCTTCTATCCCTATCTGTAAACTAGGAGTTTGGCTGACAATTGCATGGAGCTCCTAAGATTCTGCGTCAGCCAGACAGTATTCGAAGATAGACTTCTTTTGATGATGGAATCTCACCGCAAACTCGCAAGGGTCCCAATCCAGAGGTCATCATAACTGCTGACGGTCTTGGGGCTTGAGCTGTGTTCCTTGAATTTGCTTTCTTCGAAAAGCAGAAACGTGAAGAAGTTCCGACTCCTCATAGACTATCGAAACAACGACGATCTCATTCTGGTAAAACAGCTGATGGAAGATAAAGTCATTTGTTTCACCATTTCAAACTGCCTACCAGGTGATTCTCAAGTCCACCGCAAATGAAAAAGCGGCACTATTCACCCTTTACTGCCCCACTTTGTCGAGAATGGGCTGGATTTCGATCGAATTTTTCAAGAAGAAGAAGCCGCTAGAAACTTGCCTAAAAGGGTAATTTCACCCGCAGAACACGAATTCGTCATCCATTCGTTATGGAAATGTCTGGTGCCCCGCTACGCTTACGCTATGTTCTAATACGCTTCTTAGGGGCAAGTTTTCAGCAAGATTGGTGACCCAGCTCCATTTGGCCCCGGTGCCTGTAGTGAGAGCGCTAGGTATCTTCATGACGAATGGATGCGATATTCGTGTTCTACGGGTAATGTTACCCCTCTAGACAAGTTTCTAGCCTGTTTCATCTTCTTGAAAAAAATTCGATAGAAATCCAGCCCATTCTCGACAAAGTGGGGCAGGGCAGCAAAGGGTAAATGGTGCCGAAAGTGCTTCTGTTGTGCGAATGACTACATATATGGTGATGGATACGATGACCTCTGACAGTCTTTCATCGTGCTCTTTCCATTCAGCGCCTTCAGGCTGGAGTAAAGATCTTCAGCCGCTTTTTCCGGGCCAACTTTGAGGTTAACATCGCAATTAATGACATCGAGGAATATATGATCTTCTAGCCTCTTGCTACTCAAGGTTTAGACATTAGGTGATCTCATGCAAAAAAGAAAAATGCATGCATTCGAAGGGCTGGTAGAAAAAGGAAAATTGCTGATTTGATCGACATTGTTTTGAAGGGAAGCGAAGAAGAAGCTGATNGAGCCATATTGTCATGTCCTGACTTCTATCTCTTCCTAACTCTCGAGCGCTGGTTGATTGTGAAGAAGTCTCGAGTTATTGGGCGTCTCCATCGAGAATAGACAGCTTCTTCCGTCTTCCATTATAAAGATGTGGAATTTCACCGTGGAAGTATTCAGTTCAGTTCTGGCTGAACGTTCAAGCTCTTCAGTAGAACAATCCTACCGTCGACCGATGTTTCAGCTATAGCATTCTTCGGAGAGCCTGTAATGTAATGTCTAAAACTTATTTGTACTTTACACGACCACCTTCTCAACCTTCTCGAATTACAGAAGAAAAAAACTCTAAAGAGCTAAAAATCAGGTAGCAACGAAGAAAAATCGACATTGGCACAGGTGGAGTTCTTAGTCGGCTTCCGATAGCTTCCCTCCCTCTCCCCCGTCATTAACGGTGAAAGTACTAAAGGGTTCGTTGAGGGTTTGATCCTTCTTACGGCCAGTTTATTTTAGGGATCCTGGCCGCAGTGCACAAGGCTTCCAGAGTTTCGCGTGCTGAAATACCTTCTTCACTGGACAGAATGTAATCGACACCATCATCTCCACATTTTCATGATGCTGCACTTTGTGATAATCTGAAAAATTCTTGAAGGATGGTGATCCTTCAGGACTTTTTCAGCCCAGCTATATGCTTTTCAATCCTGATGCGAAACGGTCTTCCTGTTTTCCTACAATTTTTTTTGGGAAGTTCGATTGTGGTGGATATACAATACCTGAGATTATGCGTC